TTAGAGGGTCAATAAGGAGGTGACCAGATATGCAAGTTGTTACTAGACAGGAAATGAACTGATGTCTGCCCCTCTGTCCCACTGCCTGGTTGAACCCAGGTATTTAAATCTTTGGTAGGGGGAGCTGCAGAGGCATGCAGGTAGAAAGAGCAGGGGGGATCAGTGGAGCAGCCTTTGGCTCTGTTTGTCCATCTGTTCTGTGCACCTGTACGGCTAGCCAAGTGAAATGAAAGATAATACATGTCTGTTTGTCAGGGAATGTCTCCTCTTCTGTGGCCTTCCGCCTTGTTCCTCTGTTCCCATCTGGCGAAGGTGTGCCTTGGTGTGCTGTCCTTTCTGACTGAATTCCAGTATCTGCACCGAGTCCCAGGCACCGTGAAGGCTCAGTCTCATCAGGGTCCACAGTCTTCTCTTTCTGGAAAGCATCCAGTTGGCGAGCAAACTAAACGCACTCTCCATGGGCACATCCTTTTTGTCTAGATAAGTCTGCTTGCTGTGACAAAACTGGCCTTCAAAGACTTGAACTGCCAGACCGTTGCCCAAGGCTCTGAAGGGACTGAACCACGACTAGGCCAACATGCTAAACCACTGGGAGGCTTAAGGGTGATCACCAAATTTAAAGCATGGTCATAGAGGAGATTTCTCCACCTGAAAGAGCAGGCTCAGCTTAGTTACATAGACACTGTTCCACTGAATAAAAGAAGGAGAGCTACGGGCCTCAAAGTTTTAGTTTGTTTGTTTGTTTGGTTTTTCAAGACAGGGTTTCTCTGTGTAACAGTCCTGGCTGTCCTGGAATTCATGTTGTAGACTAGGCTGGCCTCAAGCTCACAGAGACCCACCTGCCTCTGTTTCTCAAGTGATGGAATTAAAGGCCTGTGCCACAACCGTCTGGCTAAGATCTCAAAGTTTAATTCACAGATAAAGAAACTAGTATCAGAGGGGAAATCTTATCTAAGGCCATAGCTCATTCATCAATCATGATTTCTGCAATGCTGATCAAACAACTGATAAATGTCAGCTACCACAACGGGCACCCAGAATAACCACACGATTAAGCCATGGATTCTGCTATTAAAACACAATCTAGTTGAGGAGACAGATATGAGCAGGTAATTGACAGAAGAGGCCAAAGTCATGGCAGAGCAAAGCACTAGGGGCCGGGAGAACACTAAATGAAAGTTGGGCAGTTCTAGCTTCAGGGATTGGGGAAGGTGTGGAGAGCTGAACACTGGTTCCTCAGAGATATCCGGAACCCACTCTCCAGACCTGTAATGATGCTACCTCACATCTGCCTAAGAAGACTGAGCAGATGAGATTAAGGTAAGGCCGTGGAAATGGACACCTGACCCTGAGCTATTGATGTACCAGCATCCCTGAGGACAGGCAGGCCGGGGAAGTGGCCATACATCAAGGAACACAGGTAGCTATAAAAGGCAAGGAAAACTGACTCTCCCTTCGGCCTTCCCATGAAACACAGCCTTTCCACACCTTGATTATAGCTCAGCGAGACTCATTTTTGGTTCCTGTGGTTCTCGGGGGCTTAAGGAAACATCTGTGCTGTTGTAACAGCTGGATTGAGATTGGGCTTACTTGTAACAGCAGCTGTGGAGGGCTCATACAAGAGGTTCTACCAGAGATGAAGCGGAAGTGGACTGTGCTCTGTCAAAAGGAGTGGGCAGCTATCAAGGGTGAGGGCTCAAGAAGTGTGGCTTCCCAGCAGGTGAGGGAGTGGGGGGGATGGCAAGGGAGGTCTTTGAGAGCTGGCTTTTGTGTCAGACTGCGGAAGTGTGTCAGCTCTGGTTTCTCTACATTTTCTCTGTGCACCTTAATCTTTCTGGACTCCTGCGTTCTCATTTTAAATGAAAAACATTTGCCACAAACAGTGAGCTTGCCACAAACATCAGCAAACCCACACCTCTGCCCAGACACCAAGAGGCCTCAGAGGCTGGGCAGGAGAGGTTTTCCGGCAGAGGAGGAAATAGATGCTGAGCATCATGGCACCTTGTGGTTTGTGCAGTGCTGGAACCTTCTGACTCTGGGAGAGGTCTTAGTATGTCAAGAAACTTGGATCCATGGTGGGACACACTTTTATGCTCAGCATTCGGGCGACGGGGGCAGGCAGATCTCCATGAGTTTGAGGCCTGCCTGGTCTACATGGTGAGCTCCAGGCCAACCAGGATTACATAGTGGGATCCTGTCTTAACAACAACAACAAATATCACAGATACACTGCTGTGGAATATTTGTAACACTGTGAAGATGTGTCTATGCCAAGGCCCCTTCTGATTGGTTTAATAAAGAGTTGAATGGCCAATCGTTAGGCAGGACTTCTGGGTAGAGGTGAGAGAACTCTGGGAAGAAGAGAGTTGGAGAGACACCAGCAGACTCAGGGCAAGTTGGGCGTCCATACTAAGGAAAGGCAAAGAGAGCCATGTGCCAGGACTCAGATCTAAAAATATGGGTTAATGAAGTTATAAGAACTGGTTGGAAACAAGCCTAAACTAAAGGCCAAGCTTTCACAATTAATAAGTCTTCGTGTCATTTTTTTGGGTCTAGTGATCCACAAATAGTCCGAGAAGAAAGCTTGCTATGGTCTATCCTGTCTATAAGTGAGAAGAACACTTGTTTTCCCCAGGATTCCCTAATCTTAAGGGACACTTCCGCCGCATGGTGTAAGCAGAGCGGAGGTCAGAGACTGCGGCCTACAACACTAGGGCTGACTTGTACATGGGAGCTGATGGAGCTTAGACCCTACAAAGGCAAACAAATGTTCTCCGTACGCTAGCGGGCCTCAGGCTAGATAGATACCCAGGGGGCCAGCACCTCTGACTCAGTGCAGCAGTGGGGGAGTTTTGTGTCTGTCTTTCCTTGTAATCCAAACCAGGGCCACACTCTCACCCGGCTCTCTGTGGGAAAGGACACGCTGGCTACTTTTTTCCCTGCTGAGTTTTCCCAAACTCTTCCACTGAGCAACCAGCCACATCTTCCAGAGACTTCTCTGCCCTGGCCTGTCAGATGATTTAAACAAATCAAATCTCTCGGTGCTGTGCTTCCAAGCCAGTGGGACCAGGAGGTCCTGGCTACGTGCCAGGTGGAGTTAGGAATCGAAAGAAAAATGATCAACGAGGCCTAGTCCCTGCCACACCAGGCAGACAGGTAAAAGGGCAAAAGGCGCAGAAGATGTGTCACGTCTTCTCAAACTATCTAGGTGAAAAGAAACTTCCAGACTCAGAAGGCTAACCGGATCAGCCCAAGGCTTGGGAAGGTGCCTACCACACACTTAGATGACCCTCTTTAGGCAGCTGTCTCCGCGATTTCTGACCAGGGTAGCTCTGGCTGGCCCAGTGTCTGGCGCCCCTCCCCCACTGCTGAGCACAGAGGGCATGGCTTTGAGTCATTCTTGGAGCAGCTCTTTGGCCTTGAGTGACCTAAGTCACTTGGCCAAGTTTGAGTTGCCCCATTACTGCAGTGGCCACATGGGCCTCAAGGAAGTCACAGGGTAAAGTATTCAGAGAGGTGCCAACCAACAGGAGGTGGTTTTACAAACCCCGGGTGCAAAGGCTCAGCCCACGTTACAGTCATTCAGAGCCAAACAGGATAAAAGTCAAACTCCCAGGTTTCCTTCTGGAAAACAAGCTCTCCTTCTCCCGAGTTTTGTCTAATTGTTTATGGTCTGCACTCCGGAGTTGCAGTATAGAGGAGAGGAAGGTTAGGAATGATCCGTACACCTTTTAATTTTTTTTTAAATTGGGGGTAAGGGAGCCTCCAATTAGGACAGCAGGCCCAGGCAGAAAGAAGCAGCTCAGCAGGCTCCCTGGCCTGCCCTCCCGCTGAGAGCAAAGCTCAGGAGGGAGCAGGCAGCAAAGAGTTACCCATCCCCCACTGTCATCACATATTAAAGGGCCAGGCACCAGGAGGGGACAAGCTAGAGGGTGACAGCTGCTCCGGGTAACAATTGGCTCCCCTAATTTGCTTTCTCTTCTGGAGAGAAAGACAAACACACACACACACACACACACACACACACACACACACACACGCAGTCATGCAGAGAGACAGAGAGAGCACGCACACTAAGGACAGCCATCAAGACACTCACTAGTCTCCTAGCCGGGCCTCCGACACCTAAGCTGGCAGGTGGGTCATCATGTCTATTGTGTCTACTTTGAGCACCCTAACACTGGCACCGTGGGCTGACCTCACTGTGCGTGGCCTTTGCTGGTCTGCTGAGACCCCATCCACGTGCCTATTGCAGTCCTACTGGACTAGGATCCTATGGGACCAGGGTGAGCACGTCTAAGAAGGGCCCCAGAAACCTTAATACCAAAGTTTGTGCACACTCAGCATCTGGGATGCAGGAAAGAAGCAGGAGGGGCAGGGAGATGGAGGCTCAGAGAGGTGGAAAACCAATTCCCACCTTCACTGAGAATCAGGATGAAACACAGGGAAAAAAAAGAAATCCATCTGTATTAGTGGATGACGTTCTGATGATATGCAAGGTCCTTGGCCAAGGGAGGGTTTCTCCTTCAGCAAACCTCTGGTTCCCTAGTCAACACAGACCAAGGACCCCGGAGATCATTCATAGTAAGGTGGAGGGATTTCCCAAGAAGCCGAGAAGAGCCACGGACTAACTAGCGTCCACCAAAGCTGTGTATGAATAGGCTGTGTCAGGAGACTGCCATTCTGTCCGTTCCTCACGTGTGTGTGCTAGGGCAACTTCAGTTTACTGTGGTTGGATACTGGGTCGGCTGGACAATATCTAAGCTGTCTTCTAATCGCAGCATTCTCCAAGTCCAAACTTGGTGCTCACGGAGAAGAGGATTCACAGACCCTATCAATCGAGTCTCACCTACCGATGGGGTGCTGGAGCCAGCCGCTCTTGGGACACTAGGAAGGGAACAGGAATGAAGTCTCCACAGTTTTAATCACTGAGCTGGAAACATTTAACAAGCACCCGTTTGGGGCTTCTGTTTGCATGCGAAGGACAAAGGGCTACTTACTATGCAGCAGGCCACCAGAGCTCCTTGGGCAAATCCTGCCAGGACGTCGCTGGGATGGTGTTTGTGGTCAGATACACGTGACAATCCCGTGTAGAAGGCCATCATGAGCAAAGTGAACTGCAGGAGGGGCCGCAGCAGGCGGGCCCCTCGCCAGGTGAAGCGGGCCTGAAGGTAGAGCTGAGGGAAAGAGATAAAAGAGATGCTCAATGACGTCTCATTCATAGGCACCAGAACACCAACCAGACCAGCATGCCCTACGTTTATGCTAAATGGAGCCAGCTAGACTTGGTGTGATACGCTACTGATAGAGTATTTAATTTTGACATGATGCCAGTCACTGATCTTTATATTTATAGCTTGAAAAATGCTGAGTTTATTTAGAGGGATCAGCTAAAGAGACCTGAGTAAGATAGTACAAATGAATGGTTTTTTTCGTACTGCTACGCACACAGCATTTAATAAACGTGACTTTCTTCTGATCCTCTGGATCTACACGACTTAGAGAACAGTAACCAAGGCCTGCAAAGGCTTTGTTGCAGGACTGATAACGATTTACTAACAACACATCTGGGAGTTTTCTTGGGGATTACAGCTGCATAGTCTCTAGGGAGACCAGCAATCCCCTGCCACAGCGATGGAACACCCATGAAGCTTTGAGTGAGTTGCTTTGACAGGCCCAGCAAGGGGATGTTTCTGCTTTGAAAGAAAGCAGCTCCATCCAAGAGAAGTTTCCAAGTCACCAGTAGGAACCTGGATTCTGAATCAGCAAATGAGGAAACATAAACCAGCCAGACAATGCCAGAGAACTTCCAAGGGGACGTTGACAGATACTGTGCTGGGTGGGGTGGAAGAGTAACCTGAAGAAAAGTGTAAGAAAGTGACAAGAAAAGAGGAAGAAAAAAAACCCACCCCAAATACTACCTCTGGCCCAAGGAAAGTTGAAATGACGTCAACTGGGTATTGTCCCCTCCGGAGTTATCTTGCTAGAGTTTCCGCTTTAACCTCTGGGCACAACCTACTTCCCAGGTTCCTGTGGGAACTTGGGAAATGAGGGGGAAGAAGCAAGAGGAACAAGGGGGAACTTCCGACTACAAATCAAAAGCAGGGGAGAGGCCAAGAGAAGGGAAGAGCAGAGGGAGGGGCTGCTAGCCACATGACAGACCTGAGGCAGGGGCAAAGAAGGCCAGACCTCCCTTCCAGAGACAATGGGGCACTTTCCTTTTGGTGGCCAGGAAGGAGCATGCCAAGGGCCAGGAGGCCAGGCCTAGGGGACAGAGGGAGAATGGAAGATCCCAGAGGCACTTGGGCTGTGCAGGAGCCTTGTCTAGGACAGAATTCTCACTTACTGGGAAAATGAAAAGCCACCCATAGGAAACAGGTGGCCCTACCATCACCATGACACAGTGACTCTGTTAGAAAATCTAAACGCACTGAGTGGAAAACTAATAAGAGGGATACTGCTGTTGGCTGCTAAGCAAATTTAAGGAAAATCAATGGGTTTCTCATATATCAGCAATAATCAGTTAAAACCTAGAAGCAGCAGCAAAATCACCATCCCAAAGGCGAAGACAATGAATACAAATTAATGCATCCCAAACTTCCTTTGTGAAGTAAGGGATATAAGGCCACTTTCAATAGAGATCTAGAATCTTTATTTATAAGAACAATGAATGTATACATTTAATTAGAACACGATGCACGTTCTAGAACACCTGGAGAATAAAACTGGAAAGTTATCAAGGAAAACACCACGCAGGACGGAACCATACACTGGTAGACGCTAAGGACAAAGAGCTGAGACGTTAACTCCACTCCGTATACAGTGATGGGTTCAGTAAGTGTACTAATGTGTCTCAGAGACACCACGAAAGGTGGAAGGCAGCTAGTGTCATTACCAAGTGCAAAGGATGATGAACTTGAACCATCGAGATGGAAGACTATTTTGATGGAAGGCAAGGGAGAATTGGGAGGCTGCTGAGTGCGGTACTTCCAATAGTCCAGCCTGGCTGGAGAAGAAAGTGGCTGAGGTATAGGGAGAAATAAGGTTGCAGAGGGCCTTGGGCACCAAGCCAAGAAATCTGCCCTTTGTTGGGCACACCAATTTCTCTCAAACTATATTCCACAAAATACTAAGGGTCGGACAAGACAGACTGGTGAATGTTCTATACTAAGTCTGTAATTCTGTCACAATGCTTATAACATTATTAAAGGTGTTGAATCCTTCAGGAGAAAAGACCCATTAGTTGGAATTACTTATTTTAGAGAATATCTACCTACTGGGGGGGGGGAGGCATTGGAAATTTGAAAATTGGCTCTAAGCAAGGTACCAAGGGTGAAAATCTAGATGCTTTGGAAGGAGTATAGGCAACAATGGGTTACCATAGGCAGGGTAAATAATGACAGTAATTCTAAGGCATCAGGTCATTGACCTCTCCCTCCTTCATTGTGCAAAACTCTGAAGAATCATGAACCAAAAGATCTTGCCTTTAGCCTCGCATGGTGCCTATACTCCAAACAGGAAGCACAGGTGAGCAGGTAGCGAATTTGAGACCTGCTTGAATTACATAGTATCTCACTATGGGAGCAGGGATGGAAATCATGTTGGCCTCACTATGAGCCAAAACAAGTTGACATTCTAAGTGCCCACTCAGGCTTGCCTTCCTCCAGCTACTCTTGGCAGTGGACAAACAGACGGACGGATGGACAACAGAAAGAGCACAGGTTTTAATCAGAACGCCCTCGTGCCTCAGCTTCCTTTTAGGTGAAAGAGAGTAATAACCGATGTCTCAGAGGCTGTGGTATGGATTGGTGGGCCGCAGTGATAGAGGACGTAGCACAGCACACACAACCCGATTAGTACCAGATTTTAATCTTTAATCGCTTTTCTTTAAGCACCTCTAAGGGTTTTCTGTTTCCTTCACTGAAAAGCCATAGGTCTCAGAGAGCACTCACGCAGAATCCCACCCTTCCCTTGCTCGCTGCCTGCAGACTTAGGTCACAGGTCTTGGAAGCCAGGGTGGAGTAGAGGAAGGGCGGACTCCCCACCGGACAAGGCTACATCTCCCCTGCCACTGACTCAGAGGCTTCAGGCTGGGGCTCCAGAAGAGAAAAAATCTCCTACAGGAGCGGAACTGGGGAGGAGACAGGCATCAGAATAGCTCCAGGAAGAGAGGAAGGGAGTGCTCGTGAATGAGAACAGAGTACGGGCCATGGGAAAAGAATTCCTCACACGTACTGGGAGTGACAGCCAGCAGAGGCGACTTGTGCCTCCCTATCGATCAGGGATTAGAACACCGTGGAGCAACAACCTCACAGTCAGGAATGACCCTGATGTTTACGATGGAGATGGCCCTTCGCCTTGACATAAGAGTTATTCAGTGACTGTGACGGGCTTTCCAAAACAAATAAATTACTAAAGGAAGACCTTGTGCAATGATCTTCCACTTAATGGATGTGTTTGATTCGAAGTTAGTTAGGCAATGGCAATAGGCTTTGTGGCTGACAGTAGGATCCAACCACCTACCAATGCCACCACCAAATGGGTGGGATCTTCTGGTGCCCAGTCCAGTTCACAAGAGCTAACTTAAGACTGTGGTTCGGGTCTCAAAAGGTTCTCTACATATAATCTGGAACTCTGGGCAGCAACTCTGGAGGCTCCACTCATTCCCAGTTCCTGGTACTGGTTCAGGTCACTCAAGAAGAGGACATTAAAACCAAAACAGACTTTCCCTGTACCAGAGAGGGCCTGCAGGAGCTTCAGCTAAGTCCTTAGAGTGAGTGACCCTGACCACATCCGGGCCGCTCCCGAAGGGCCGCTCCCGAAATCCTGTCCTGCGTGTGTCTGTTGCTCTCTGTGAACGGCTCTGGGCTGAGGAACTCACTCACTACTTGACTGCACATGAGGGCCCCAGCTAAGTCATTCTACTTTGCTGAAGTTCTTTGTTCTCATAGATAGCCTAGATATGCTCACTCTCAAAAATTTACTTATTTTTAGCTTATAGGTGTTTTTGCCTGCATGTGTATCTGTGTGAAGGTGTCAGAATTCCTGGAGCTGGAGTTACAGACATTAGTGAAGTGCCAATGTGGGTGCTGGAAATTGAACCCGGGTCCTCTGGAAGCGCAGGCAGTGCTTTTAACCACTGAGCCATCTCTCCAGCCCCCAAGATGTGTTCAGTTTTAAAAATGTTGCAAGCGTGTGCTGTGTTCAAAAACTGGAAGGACACACACATTTTTAGCAGTAGAAATTTTTAGCTTTACGGTAATAGCGCTCCTGTGTCCCGACAGTTTGCCTTGCTGGTGCTGAGGCTGTGCTTCCAGCTGCTAACACAGACCTGCCGGTTGGGGTGTGAGGAGGATTACACTCAAAGGTGCGCATCTGCCTCCCCTCCTCAGAGGAATGCACATAGGACCCTGGCATCCACGCTGCATCTGTAAATGGAACTTCCCCCCCCCTGGCCCTAGCTTCAAATCTGGGGTTCTACGGAATGGGACTTCCAATTAGATCTCCTTATACTGAGTTCCAGCCTGGCGCTGTCTACCCGGGGGGCTGGGCCTGGTGTGTGAGCCATGCTCCAAGGCTCCCTAATTCTTGCTAAGTCATTTGTGTTTCTTGCTGTGATTTGCATGCTGGAGAAACAGGCCCGCACAGTCTTCTCCCCTGCTGCCACTGCTCTTGGGACAGGTGGGTTGAGAGCGGAAAGGAAGCTTTCTGAGAGGCGGCACAGGTCACCCACACCCAGTGAGACACTTTCTCGCTCTCCAGTCTCCTCCTGGGCTCCCTATCTGACCCGGGTCCATGGGCTTGGCAGAAGGCCACATGATGTAAACCAGCTTCCCTCTGTAGAGCTATTAAACTGCCTTGAAGACAAAAGATTTTTTTTTTTTAACCTGACACTCTCTTCCTTTCCAGAAAAATCAAACCTCATTTTTCCATCACTATCAAGAGAAGGAAAGGAAATGACGATTCTGTCAAGCACTGAGTTAGACACTGGGCTAGAAGCTGAGTTATTGGCAACTGCCACCATCATCACGCTAGGTGGACACTGGGGTACCCATGGCACAGATGAAGAGACCCAGGCAGAAGAGGCTGTGTTGCTCAAGGCAACAGGGAGCTCCGGATTACATGGAAGAATTGTCTCTCTGAGTCTAAGGTCTAACTCAAGGACTGCTGGTCTCGG